CGAAAATGATGTGACGACTAGAAATTTTGTAACAATATAATTATCTTACTATAATACTGATTGTGATTTCTAAATAGAATTTTTTATGCTATAAAGTAGCAATCAAGCAAGCAGCACCCTGAATCCGCCAAAATGATACAATTATAGAGTATGCATTGTTACATATTTCGACACAAATGACTTCCTTTAAAATATAGACGGACGGCCATATTAAGAATACTTGTAAATTACTTTAAAACACACAAACTGAACTCCAATGCGACAACGCAAATATATCGAACGTTCCGTTGTGACGACTAGAAAAAAACAGCTTGTTCGTCACTGAGCGCCGAGACTACGACTGAGAGCCGGAGGAACAGCGCAAGGTTCAGTTATAGGACCGATCCACTATCTTGCATATGAAATGACCTAGAAAATATAATTTAAGAGTGCTACCTTTATCAATACGCAGATGATACTTGCTTGATACCAGCTAGATTCAACTTAGATATCGCCATGGGACGCCTTCAAAATGACTTCACATTAATGAATATGAGGGATCACGATATTGGACTAAAACTGAACACAGAAAAAACGAAGATCATTCACGTTCACTCGAGCCACATTAACAATGATACACAAATAAAAATAATTGCTCATTGTCCCTCATGCCTCCATAAAACCCCATCTGTCTGTACATGCTGTCAAATAAAGTAAAACATCACACCTATCTAGGATTAGTTAGTGACTATCGATATACATGGAAAAATCATATCGACAATGTGCGAGATAAGTTGAAAATCATTCTCACTAAGTTCTACCTTTTAAAAAATAAGATACCCTTTAAAATCCTATTGAACATGTACTTAGCTCTTGCAGAATCTGTAATAACGTACGGAATTACCAGCTATGGTCGTAACTTTAAATGCTTCATAAATCGAATATTAAACTTACAACTAAGAATATTAAAAAACAATAACACTTCCCTAGCGGGCGTAGCGCTGTGTAGATGTGTCAAACGAAGTTAATTAACTAAATCGAAGTCCAGTGTTAATAACAGTCTAAGTGTAGTAAAATAACTTTTTATTTTTTGTGAAACAAAACCAAATCTACTACTCCGACGTCGTACATCTGTTTCTTATATAAACAAAAACAACAAATACGTAATCTGTGAGTAAACATCGACTTTTTTTGTCCTTACAAAAAGACCAATACAGTGTTTGAGAACAACAACATTCTACTGATATAACTATGCTACCGCATTTTACAACTCAATACAATTAGAAGTAAAAGCAATATTTTTCGGTACAATCTGGGCCATTAGGACACAAGGTTTGCGTACAGAGATAAAAAGTAAAAATTAGAAAATAATAATAATAATATAAATATTTATACATTCATACAAGTTTAATTCATAAGTAACAAACAAAACTGAGCGCCGAGACTACAACTGAGCCCGAGGCACTCTTTGCCACTTATTTTATAAAACTACCCCCCCACTATTCCTTCCATTTCCTAATATTTTCCTAACAATATTTTTGTTTTAAATAAAGATAAATGTATTGATATATAGCACAAATTAACAAATAACTTTTAAGAATACAGAATATATCAAAAATATTTAAAAAGCTAACTATGTAAGTATTTCAAACTATGGTCACATAACATCAAGTGTCCTTTTTTTTGATTACACATTATATAAATAAAACAAACCAGAACGGTACAAGAATGATGTTAATTAACAATTACTAAATAAAAATATAAATAAATGAATCACTTCGAATTATCTATCGATATTTTGTCTAATCGATTCAGTAAATTTAGTACAACATCGATGGTGATGTTTTCTGTATGTAATCTGTGTATACCACATTTCTGAACTTGAAACAGATTGTCAATAATCAAAATTGTCAAACGAAAAACCAAATGTCAAACACAATTTAAGAAAAAATAAACAAAAAAGTTTGGTGTATTATTTTTTAAATATTTAGAATGTGGAATAAATTACAAGATTCGCCCCCGTTTTATTTGCAATTTTCACAAACTAATGGCTACGAGATATCAATTACCGATTATATTACGTTATACACGGTAAACATTTTAGAAAATGAATTTATCACAATATTAAAGGTTAGTTTTTATAAAATATAATATAATGTAACCATGATATGATTTAATCCATATTTTCCTCTTTATAACTTGACAATATTAAAGCATTGTTTTGTACAAACTTAATGAAACGCTATATTATTTTGTCAATAGGATAGTAATCTAAAACTGGTGATAACTGACAAGGAGTTAATGGATAATGGTGTAAATTTGCTTTCAAACCTGGAAAATATCAAAGACTTGAGAATAAACACTGCTGATGGACATTTAAAACTTTATATATGCAAGTTTTATGAATACCCATTTAGGCTTAATTTAACATTACATGAAGCTCCTAAAGAAATTGTAAGTAAATAATTTAATATAAGCTTCTACACATGTCCACTTCTCTGTTACACCATTGATTTAAGCTGACATATTTCCCTGTTTTGTCTAATAAGTATCTAAATGTGAATTATAAACTAGAAGGTTAATGTACTTTTCTAGTGCATTCTCTTCTTTGTTCAATAAAATTAGATGATGCTTATAAAACATTATAAATGATAGTTGTCACTATTGTAGCAAAATTATGTACCAATTTCTTCATTAACTGCGGTCATAAATCAATGTTTATGAAATTAAATACAGTTAGTACACTATAAACGGCAAGGTAGTTTCTTGTTCTGCTAAAAGTTTGAACTAACTATGGTGCAAAATACAGTACTTTCGAAGGAAAACTTTATAACAAATTACAGTCTTCCATTAAAAATGTTAGCTCAATCTATTTAATCAATTTTGTCGCAACATCTTTTAAAAAATTTTGAAAATTCTCTAAATAATAAATATTGGCGACTAGCTATATTATAAGTACTCTCATGTAAGTAACTTTGTAAAATTGTCTTTTTGATAATATAGTCTTTAAACCTTTAATAATTTAAGTAATGTTTTTCACATTAAAATTTATTAAACTGTTGAAAATTTTAAGTTCTTCCAGAAAGTAACTCAGCATCTTCTCAGGACTATTATCGAGTTTCAGAATATTGAACAGAAATTGAGAGAATCTTTAAAAAAGAAAGATGATGAAATTGCCAAGTATAATATGAAAGGATATAAAATAGAAAGTAAGTACTTTTTTCAAACATTATATGAGTTTGACACACGTTTTTATGGTGTTATAAAAATCTGGCCAGCATTTCATGACACCAATACTCTAAAAAAAGTAATAATTGTCTACACTTATTAGTTTTATATTATTTTTTACAGAATATAGAAGAACATCAGTGTTTAACGAAGAGGAGCATTTGAAAAATCATGCAGTTTTTCAAGAAAATGGTGTTCCGCAAGACATACCTCACAGTTTACTTGAAGAAAAATATGAAAGTAAAGAAAGTATTCCTCAAGTGTGAGTATCACAATTAATTATTTTTACACAATATTTAATTTAAAATACTTTAAAGGAAACATATTTAACCCATTGTTTTGGGTAAACTAAACAAAAGACTGAAGACTTAAGTTAAGTTTAAAATAATTGAATAAACACTTTTTTATGTCTTCAAGGTATTTTTCTATTATCCTATAAGGGACATATAAAAAAAAGAACTTCATATTATTACAGGAAAGAAGAGACAAATGGTCTACATGAAGTTCCAATTAAACAAGAAGCGACCACATCTGAAGCAACAGTGGAAACGAACACTACACACAATTTAACAAAAATCGAGGTTAAAGAAGAAATAAAAACGGAACCACGAAATATAAGTCCATTGAAAAAAAGAAAAAAGGAATTGAATTTGTAGCAAGAATAATGGTAATTAAGATTTTTATGTACTTAAAGTTACTTATAAAATTTTTTTTTTTAAATCATATAGATAAGGATAAATTCTGATTGATTTATTTGGATCTCTTATAAATTGTACATTATGTATTTTAAATCATAATATCATGTATACCAATAAGCTATGTGTTTTGGGTGTTTTTTGTTTATTTTTTACAAGAAATCAATGAAATAATGTTTGATATTTTTAATATCTATCTTTTTCTGAAACCAATTAAATTGTTAATAGACAATTATACTATATTTAAGATGACAGGCACATACTTAGATATATTTAAGTTTTTGGACATTTTTGTATTGAAATGAAAAGCATATGGCTTAGTATGTTTTATACCTTCATAGTATTTAGATCAACTATTTTGTTGATTTATTCAACGACATTAATTGAATTTGAAGATTAAAAATTCTTATAATATTAGTACCGCGTTGAAGAATTGGCGCAACACTAGATTTTTAGCGTAAACGTCACATCTCTAACTGACAGCTGTCAATGTCATTAGTCGTATTAAATATGGCGCGCGATTCTGGCGAGAAGTGTGGCTCTGACTTTTTAAGTTAACATGATAGTATCAATGGAATAAATTGTTTAAAAACACTTAGTATAGGTGCTTAATAATTTATGATATAGGTATTCGTAAGTAGTATATAATTTAATGGTTAAAATTAATGACTTTTTTAATAATAGTGTTAGTAGCTTAGATGTTAGCGGTTGACTTATAATCTGCAATTCTAGGTCCAGTTCCCAGTAAAACAATGTGTTTTAAACTTCTAATTTCATATGTGTATTTTACAATATTCTTATGGTGAAGGAAAATTTGAAATCTGCGCATATCTGTGAAGAAATTCAACAATATGTTGAGTGAAGTCAACCCGCAGTGGGCTTAGTTGACTATGGTCTGGTCATCCCTAGGGGTAGGCTTTAAGCCTTACAAATGGGACATAGCTGACATAATAATCACTTTATTGATGCCATTGCTTAGTAAAACATTGTACTATATTATTTTTTTATTGATTATTTTGTTAGTAAAAGCTAAAATAATGAAAATCAAAATTATTAAATTATTTCTATTAATTTGTAAAAATACTCGTGTTTTTACATCAGATTTGGCAAACTTAAACATATACCCTGGTGTCATTTTTAATGTGATATATTTGGTTAATTTAGTCATTGTAGTAATAATTATTAGTACTAAAGTGGCATTTTGATGTTTTATTTGGTTTTTATCGACCTTTTTATTGAGGTTAGATTTGTTATTTGTAATTATCTTAATAAAATGTATTTTGTCTCATGAAGGTTTATTTTAAATCTATTTAATTCTTAATTTTAATTAGGCCTTTTTATTAAAGGATGAATTATACAAAAATATGCTATGATTGCTGACATCTTAGGAAGTAGTGTGTTTACACTTTATTTATTAGTAAGTATATATATAAGTGCAGTGACATGAAAAGCACTGAACTTTGGATAATGAATATTGGATATTTAAAAAGATTCTTTGTTACACATGTTTTAAGAAATATCAAGCTAAGAACCAGTTTCAGTTTTAAAAATCAATTAGTAATAAATAAACCAAAATGTCAAGTATGTCAATTTATTCAGGAATTAAATTTTAAATTAATACAATGTCCTTCATATAACAATCATAGGTCTATAACTGTGGATAGCTGCTTCAACACATGAACAAAAAAAAATCTAATTTTCATAGAAATAAAAAGAATAACGTTTGTGTGTTCTCACCCTTATTCTATCTTCTCCCACATCCTATTCCCATAGGGTCGTTTTTTTCTTCCGAATAACTGTCATCCGTCATCTCAGTCATCACTCCTTGATCATGTCATCTTTCACACAAACCATCTGTCTCTAGGTCTACCTCTACTGTCACCAACAATGGTAAGATTTTGTGACAATTTACAATCATGTCTTACACCTGCATATAAGGCTGCGCATTTATGTGCAATTAAAGATTTTTAACAAGCTCTACACTTTATAATATCTTTTTTCTACTGGTCACCTATCAGACTATTTATATAACAGACACGGGATAAGCTACATAATACAGTATCAATGGTAAAAGGCTTTTAATGGTATTTTTTACATAGAGAACTCTCACAGTCTTATCTTTTTTAGTATAGAGCTGTAACTCCGTTGTCAAATGTCATATAAATTGAAGAACCTAACCACAGTCAAACTTGATATAAAATATATCTAACTAAGACACCTGGGTCTTTCGTTACACTAGTGTCAAGCTTAACTAAATATTTCGAAGCAAGTGACTACAAAACTTGATATTATACTACAAATTCTGAAAGTGTGCAAGAGTCATAATTATAATAGCCAAGCTTATGCCTGTACGATACGATTAAAACTAACGATGAGTTTCCACTGTTGTAACACATGTATAACAACAATGTTGCTGTCGCTTTCATTTTTGGATAAGACATGTGTTACGATAATCGAAATGTATCTACTTCTGTTCTATCAAATTCTATAAAATCTTAATTATTAATTATAGCCTAACCGAGAATATAAAAATCCTGGTCTAAGGGCAATACTTAATTGACTAGCTGTTTCCCGTTTGACCCATCCATCTACCCATTGGGACATTTTCCCATTGTGCCGATTGATTGTATGTACAATGGGAAAATAATTACATTACTAATCGATTAGCCCATCGAGAAACACTCAATTGACTTCTTTATTATATCAGCTTCTAATCAGAAAAGAAATTAGTTCCATATTTTTTCGCAATATTACGAGGGTTTTTATATCCTTGATCAGGCTAGATTTTTTCACGATGAATTTCGAATTGTTTCGTAGTGACTTGCAATGAATATCTTACGAACATTAATTCTGTTAACATCCCAAGTATTTACGTTGATTTTTATAACAATTAATTTGCTATTAAACAATATTACGAGTATTGTAAATACTTCAGATGTTAACAAGATTATTTCCTGTACAATTTCCAAACCAATTTCGCAACAAACATCATGTTTAAATGATGTTTCTAAGTACATTTGTTATACTTTTCGCAATATAGTTCATTTCCAAGACCTGGGGGTCTAACGCGATAACGAGAAAATATTCGTAACGTAGTTAAGTATGAGACTTGTCTGTGTTTTTTACACCTGGAATTGCACAACTCTTATACAAATTTTGTAGATGACGTTACTTATATTTTATCGGAAGCTTTCGTACTAGACCCACTGTATTTAATTCGTTAAACCTTGCGTTAACTGACTTATGTTGTGAAACTGTAATGCGTTGTGCAGTGCGTATATTACGCGTTATGCGATTTAAATTTTTTTAACTATAGTCACTCTATTTGAAAAAGAACCACGAAATCAACCAAGTTCTTGGAAATGAACCTTACTCAATCCTTTAGTATTCGCATCCTTAGTGTTCTTTGTCTGCTGTTCGGTGTTATTTAATTCAATCTTCTAGAAGTCAGGCTAACAACTGCATTTTGAAACGTCACTTTCAGAATCTGACGGCTTTATAACGTTGTCTCTTTCCTTTAGCTCAAATGCATCCGCCTGGAATTATTAAGCAAACGCGATCAAGCAATGTAGATACCTAGCAATTCAGACTCTGAGTCAGTTCTTTCTAAACCTTACCTTAGTCTCTCTGTATTCCCTTATTTTTCTTGCTAAAGTAATGAATGCTTCTTCTATGTTAATATTATTCTTACAAGATACTTCAAAGAAAGGCATATCAAAGTCATCCGCAATCTGGAAAACAATAAAATCATGTTATTATTTATTTTCTATTATATAAATATGTTCTTGTTTTACCTTTTGGCCTCTCTCCTTAGGAACAGCGCGGTGGTTCTCATGCACGTCACACTTATTGCCAACTAATACTTTAATAACATCTGGAGATGCGTACTGAAAGCAAAGAATACAAAGAATTTTAGACATTACAATTCAAAACAGTTGCGGGAACTTTGGTAACTTTATAACTAGAATATCGCCTAACTAAACATAACGCCTGCTAAAATTATTGAGAATTAATATAATGATAAATTGCGTAAAGTAAAACGTCAGGCGCACGTTTTTAAAATAAAACAAATTGTTTAAACTTAAGAGTGTAGATATCCATATTAGGAATAATTTAAAACCTCACCTCTTGAATGTTCCTCAGCCAATAAGACAAATGGTTAAATGATTCGAGATTAGTTATATCGTACATGAGGATGATGCCCATCGCTCCTCGGTAATACGCCGTAGTAAGGGTTCTGAACCTTTCCTGGCCAGCGGTGTCCCATATTTGTAGCTTGATTGGCACTCCATCCAAATTGATGATCTTTTGTTTGAAATCTATACCTGTAATTTTAAAATTAAATTACAATAGTGATAAGTCTATTTTAACTAATAAAGAAAATTTATTGGTTTTGCGTAAATATTTTAAACATAGTGGTAAAACATCTATCGTGTAGCCAGAAAAATCAAATAATTAATTTCGAATATGTCATTTGATTCCCAAAATGGTGAAAGAAAATATTACATTAAACGACTAGACCGAAAAAAATCTATTTTGGGTTCGACGCACGCACGGGTCAAAACAATTCATATATTCAACATATAGTTTCACTAGCTATATGTGACAATGCAATGCAGTAAAGGTACGGTCATTTCCAATCCCAAATGACTAGTGATGTTCAAAGAAAATATATGACTTAAGACGAGCATTAAATGATACAGTGCGTAATCCGGACAATGAAGTTTTATTAAGTCCATACAATAAACTTCGCCTTATAAAAGTAGGCAATATAAATAAACTACAAATTAACCTCATATGGCATTTACGAACATATAAAACATTTAATGTCTCCACAAGTAAACTATTCGGTATAATATTTAATGCCCGACTTTACATCAAACAGTCCATTGTTCGCTTCGATATTTCCGCACTGGAAACTATAATTCTGAATCCGTTATAACCAGAAGGGAACAGCACAGCATCACCTAACTAACAAAGGCTCGTAAAACTAAGTAAATATTCTCACTCACCTATTGTGGAAATGTAAATGTCGTAATACCTCTCATCACAATATCTGTGCACTATGCAGGTTTTGCCGACGTTGGAATCACCCAAAACTAACAGTTTGTACGTCGCTGAGAAATCCAGAGCCATGATTATTGTTTACTAAGTTGGCGAACGCGGGTGGTAGCTCAAAACATCGGTCGAACTGTCAAAGTGAGAAAAATCAATGAAGGTGAGTGCGCATGTGCGGGTTACCCTCCCCGCAACAAGTCACTATGTAGTTAATGCCTTGTTCACACTAGGGCAGACCAGAGTAGTAGACAATGCAGTACAATGTTTAAGCTCACACACTATCAAAATAATGTTCTCTTTCGATGTACGCGTGCGGTACTGTACAATATACTGTTCTGCTTTAATATACTACCTTCATGTGAAACAGACATTACACGGGATGATAAATATCTCTGGCGACAAGTTAATCTGCGAGTTCAAATATACATTGTAATTGTATTAATGTGTTTACGTATTCGTTTCTATATACGAAAACGTTCTATAATACGTAGATACTTTTATAATAGCTTAAAGAGAGATTTTTCAACGGCATGCAAGCATTGGCTTACATCCAAATATTTATTAGATTTTTTACTGCACCAAGCTGTACTGCACTAAATCATTTTAACATGATTAAAAAAGTTACTCTTTGGCAAAAAGATATAACTTTATTATCATACTAAAATTATATATACGTATAGTTAGATGGAGTGATGGTTAGAGTTTGTAGCCTTAACTGCTGAACAGATTTCATAGATGCAGAAGATAGCCTAAAACACCATTTAAGGAATTTTTTTTTCATTCCACGCGGGCATAGTCGCAGGCGTAAGCTAGTATAAATATAAATATGAACAGTTTGACCTGTATTAGTAGTAGAAATTCCATAAAATATCATGAAAGTAAGTGTCATATAAAACTGCATTAGAAATTCGACCTTATTACGATAGCATTAAATACAAATAATTTCACGTGTTTGTTAGATCTTACAAGTCAGTGCTAGGCAATTTCTTCTTCAATTATAGCAAATTTACTATCGTCGCTGTTATGATTACAATGTAATGGAGTCCAAGAGAGTAAAATTGCTTCAAATATGCGTTTACTGGTTGTAAGGGAAAGTAATATGAATGCTGTTTTATACAGTGTTACTCTGTTCTAATACTGTCTCTAATTGAGCAGCTTTTAAACTGTCGTATGTACTTAGAATCAACATCCTATTTTCAAAAAGCGTGGTCATGATTTTTTAAGTCATCTAAATAGCGACGTGACAACTGCCTGGATGACAACTGAGGGGGAGTCAGCAACTTGGATTACCCTTCCTTATGCGCCCTCTCTTTCGCGTACATTTTACCTTTCCGTATCTTAAAAGACAAGGGACGAGGAAGAAGAATTAATTCCACTGTCTGTCTTCTGTGTAGACCTTTAGTGTGAAATAAACATATTTATTTCATACATGTTTTCTTTATACTTGTGCCAATTTATTGCTAACAATAGGCTTTAGCAAGAGACGTGTCAGTAAAAATAAAAGTTTAACCTTACTATTGTTCGGTTTAGATGACACGTCGATAGGTGTGCCTTCCGCGTGTGGTAGGCGTTGTTTATTAAGATTTCCATTTATTCCGTTTAAATCCTTGCCCATATCTGGTCCATACATCGCGGTGGTCCCTGTACTATGCAAAAGCATGTTTTCGTATTATTACTGGCTTCAACGCAACTCTTATCGGTCCTTTGTGTTCTTTGCTTTTGTTTAAAACTATTTTCTCAATTCAGACGACAATGTTTTCGAGTATTATTTGACGTACATTTAATAGTATATTTTATTTCATTTAAACCACTAACTCCAAGAGTACTTTATAAATGTGGCCTGAAACTATTTCCATTCGCAAAAACACACGGGTACAAATTCTCAATCAATAACTGCTATTAAGCTCATAGAAAACAAAGATATTTTTTTCTACCTCCCATGGCAACTCAAGGTTAACTCAATGACAAGTAATAACAAATGTACAACACCAACATCTTTTAGGTCCGACATTTACATCTTACTTTACATACATACATACATACATAAGTATAATTTACCTTTTACTATCCTCATAACACGAATGCCACTGATTCTAGGCTACATAACATTAAGTGTACGTGACGCAATGCCCCAGGTCGCACAGTAGCGATGTATTCGCAATCTTACCAGTTTTTTAACGACTTCATTTGTCAGAAAACCGCAAGAGTTGTAAGCGTCACCACAAACTGTTTAGGTAAATCTTTTGAAGTTTGTGTTCACGTTCTATCGATCGGATGATGTTAGAGCAAATTCATACGATAACTACGATGTGAACAACAGCAAATGCGTTTATAAATATACAAGCTTACGCCCGCGACTACGTCCGCGTTGTATTAAAAAAACATACGTGAGTAGCCTATGTGTTCTTCCAGACTATCCTCTAAATAAATAAATAATAAAAAAGCCTTTTATTCCATGCCATAGTTTACAAAAGTTTAAAAAAAATGAATGGTACATGTCTAATTATTGTTATTTATAGGTTTATTACATACATATATATTAGATTAGAAAAATTAATTCGGTCATATAATGTTAAACCTATTTCAATAAATAACCAAAAATGTCCTAAATACTATTTTTTTTTCTATAAATTATTAATCTAAATTATATTTATTTATTTTTTTAAATCTAGATGTCATATCCTTTGCATGGACCCCTCTCAGGTGAAGACCTCCTCTATATCTATACCAAATTTTATCGAAATCCGTTCAACCATTTAGGCTACAAACTCTAACAAACATCTATCCATCTAAACTTTCGCATTTGTAATATTAGTATCATAGGTGAATCTGAACTACTAATTTGGTAGTAATTGAAACGAATATTTGGCGGTAAGTAGCTTAAATAAGAACATAAGTCACGCTTGTAAGCTAAGGATATAGGCAGAGATTTTGTTTTATTTCATTCGGTCCTGGAGCATATCTCTCGGCTCTTTCATGTTCATATTGTTAAATAAATATAAAAATTTAGACATTACACATATTTAATGTGAATAGACCTTTATGTAAGCTTCCGTGCGTGTAATTTAAAAGGAAATGACAAATGTTCTACCAATAGCTCAGCGCGCAAATTGCAGGGAAATGGTTATGCGTACAAGTTACTATTGTGGCTCTATTGTCCTAGCTAATATATGTCATATGTTTGTTTGTTAAGCTTTCGTGTTCATTATCGGGACAAATAAAAACGACAGACATCGAACGTGTAATAAAAATAACAATAGTTCTTTTCAAATATTTTTAAAAGGTGAAAATGGAAAGATGTTCCATTCAAAATAATTCCTCGCACACGATTGGAAAGCAATTTCACTGAAGGGTATACCAATTACAGGGAAAGGCTTCACATATTGATTTGTTTGGAGAGGGTTAGCGCGGGTTAACCGCTGATGACCTCTGATGACCTCTAGACCGAGCTCATCACGAGTATTGATCCCAAACCTAACAACTACAAGGTTTTTGTTTTTATTTCAATACCCAACTTATATACAATAGTACATTCGGATATTTCATTCGGATCATAGCTGTGACGTGACACATGCAAACTAATTTTGCCAAAGCTACAAATTTGACACGACATTTAATCATATTTTAATTTTAAAAAGACATTCTCAATCCATACTTAAATTACTTCACACACACTTAAACGTTACTAAATGTTATGACCTAAATTATTATAAAAAAATGAAAGTGTTAAAAGTAAATATGTCAGCTAGTCCAATGTACAAAAGAAGTATTTTTTACATTAAATTTCAATACTGTTAAGTAACTAATCGATTTCACATTAAAAATAAATGATTCAAATACTGGCAATGTGACGTATGCCCACGCATCTAACTGCAATAAAAAACTAGAAGAGCAAAGTCCAAAAGATATTGCTTAACGCGAAATTCCCTCAAATGCGTCACCATTAGGTAACGATCAGCCGGATCTTAGCGGTCATTAAACGAAAAAAAGATCATATCTCTGACAATGGAGGACTCGGCGACCGAAAGTGATAGTCGAAGATATCAGAGATGACGCCAACGGACACTGAAAATGACCAGTCACCCTTACTTAGAGAATGCGCACGTCTGAAACTAAACTATCGCACAATTTGCGCCTTCTGCGCTCGGCCACCTCAAGCCCGGTGAATCTGTAAATGCCTCTTCAAGGCAAACAGTGACAACTCAGTCACAAAAAAAAATCGCACAATTATTTAGTCTCACTTTGAATTCTATGAGCTTTTATGGAGGTGCGCACTCTACTCGATTTTAGTTGTGCAACTAAAAAGTTGAACTGGCAACGAAACAATCGACAATCGCAAACAGTTGTGCGACAATTTAGTCAAAGGTGTGCGGCCGCTCTTACTCATGTAGCTATCTAAGTATTGCTAATTATTGAACTATCGATCCACCACTTTAAATTTTCTAAGACTACATTAAGCTCGTGACTCCGTCCGCTCGGATATGAAATAAATTTATACTATATATATATATAGATTATGTTCCATATCTATAACGGTTTTAAAGAGATCCGTTGAACCTTTCTGGAGATATGTAGAAACAAACATCCGTCCAAACATGCAAACTATTTATAATTTGCATTTATAATGACTGTGGTCGACCTTTGAGGTCAATAGACAATAACTTGCCTTATAATTTTCTGTTGCAAGTGTGACAGTTTCTACTACCAAAACTCTTGTACAAAAGCTACATTATTGTTATCGTCTTAAAATCCGTATTAACAGTATAATTTTAAATGAACATTTTTCTGTCCTTAACATTTATTGTGACAGCAAATAAAACAATCAAATTTTGATTAAACGAGTTAAGTATTGGTTGCTATTTATAAGCATCTTTCTGAAGTAACTATTTTATTTATTACCTTAAGACACTCTTAATATTCATGCATATAAAAATAGTAAGGATTTCTTAATAAATTTACTAGGTGTGACTAAATGACAGCATAAAGAAACACTTATTAACGACTTAAAGTTAGTAATTGCATATTCAGAGAGAATTTATTTAAAAGATTTTAATTAATTGAAAGATTGATAAGCATTCAAAGGTCAAAATACATAAAACGAATAAAAACAATTTCTGAATCCAGTAAATGTTT